CGGCGGGATGCGGTCCCGGCGCCCCGCTCTCCCCAGGCGTGGGACTGGGGAAAAAGGGCTTTAAATTCATTTGGTTAACTTGGGCTTGACCTGAGAAAGTTCCCACTTAAACCGCGGGCTGGGGGAGCCGGGGCCGTCCCGCATTCAGCCGCCCGGGACAATATCTTTTCTCTCGCCCCGGCATCGCCGGGGCGTCCCAGCTCCCTTTTCCCCCTCTCGGATTTCTGTTCCTCTCTTAATTTACCATGAAGGCTAATTCCATTTCCATTCACGATATGTCAACCATCTCATCTCCCCATTTTGTAAGAGGAATTCCTGGGCCCTTTTAAACAAGCCCTCGCGCCATTCAGGCACAATGTACCGCTACAGCATTCCTAAAGGACTAATGAATTTAGAATTAGCAATTTCTTTCTAGTTGAGTTTAATGAATGCAGATCACTTTAACAGCATGACAAATTGCTGGATGGGCCGAAATAGACACCATTTAACCTCCTTTCCCAGCCCCGCTCCCTCGCCCAGCCCGGGATGCTTTTCCCAGGTACCTCCTCAATGCCCCGGGGGAACCTTGTAGCGCTTTGTGGGAGCCCGGTTGGGCGTTTAAAAGGCTCAGCCCGGGGTCCGGGCTGGGGCGGGGTCCCCGCCGCCCCCGATCTCCCTCCTCTCCCCCAGCCCTGTCCCTTTCTGAGCTGCTCTCCCCCCTCGCAGAGGTGCAGAAGCTCTCCAGCCTGGTGCTGCCGTCGGAAGTGATCATCGCCCAGAGCTCCATCCCCGGGGAAGGGCTCGGCATCTTCTCCAAGACTTGGATCAAGGCTGGCACCGAGATGGGGCCGTTCACGGGCAGGGTCATCTCCCCCGAACATGTGGACCTGTGCAAGAACAACAACCTCATGTGGGAGGTAACGACCCCCCCGAACCCCGAGCCCCGACTGGTCCGGGGAGAAGCAGGGACGGGGTCCTGGGGCTCTGTCCCGTGCTTGGGCACCACCGAGCACTGTCCTTGTGCCTCAGTTTCCCCATTCACGCAAATATCTGGCCAGATGGGTTTAGGAACCCCTTGCAGGAGAAGGATGAGGTCTCCCCAGCCCTCGGGGTGCAGCCAGCCCACAGAGGAGCCCCGAGATGCTGTTGCTCTGGTCCCGTGCGGACGGATCACGCCCTGCCCATCCCATCCTGGTGGAACACCCGACTGGTTGCTGCCTGCACTGGCCACCGTGGACAAAATCAGCTCTGCCCTGTCCCTTGCCCCCTGCTTTGCCCCAGCCCTGGTGAGGTTAATCCCGAATGAAACTGTGGAGTTTGGGGGGATCTGAGATGCCAGGACATTGTGCACTAAAGCACAGCCAGTAGAGAGGGTTTTCCCCTTTTTTTTTTTTTTTTTAATTTGTTTGACTCAGACTTGCAATTGTTAATTATTATTGTAATTTTATGCCTAGCAGAAACTTGCCTTATCATTTTTGGCACCCTGCTAAGCATCTTTCCAAGCCTGGCATGCACCTTTCCCTTCCACCCAGGGATTCTCCTGCTCCCATGGCAGCTGCAGGATGGTGAACAGCCCCTTCCTGTAGGGCTGAGCTGCTGCTGGGGCTCTGATGAGAAGGGAAATTGAGGAAGGTTATGAAGGGAGATAGGGGCCGGCAGGACCTGCTGTGCCAGTGAGAGCAGGGCATATTTCTCAGTCCAGCACCACGAGCAGGAAGGGTTTAGCATCTCCAGCTGCTGTCAGGATCTCAGCCCCGAGGCTCTGCTGGCTTTGAGCTTGTCCCAGGGGTGGAGGGGTTCAGCCCACAGCAGGCAGCATCACTACCAAGCCCTCTCTGCCCTCACAGGTGTTCAATGAGGATGGCACCGTGCGGTATTTCATCGATGCCAGCCAGGAGGATCACCGCAGCTGGATGACCTACATCAAATGTGCACGGAACGAGCAGGAGCAGAACCTCGAGGTGGTTCAGATCGGGAACAGCATCTTCTACAAGGCCATTGAGGTAAGTGGGGCTGAAGGGCAATGGGAATCTGCAATAGAAAAGTAGGGTGGTGGGATTGCCCACCCTGCAGACTCTCCCTCCCTTGTTCTTTGGGTTGTTGGTGGGGTGTCTGTGGAAGGACATGGCAGCTTTTCCATCCTTGGCACTCAGATCCACCAGCAGAGGTAGAAATGACATGGAAGGGTCATTTCAGGGAATAGTAAAGGTCCTTTCTCCTATCTGCCCCCTTTCTGTGGGCTCATGGAGTGGTGTGTGTTGAACAGGGCGAGAGTAGATCCTTGTTTGGGGTGTAAAGCATGGAAAGAGCTGCAGTTCTGGCTGATATGGAGCTTTGGGCAAGGACAGGGCTAGGATGCTCTATGGAAAAAGTGGGATTTTGTGCAGAACCTGCTTCTTTATAGTTTGGGAGGTTCTGTGAAACCCAGGTGCTGAATGCAGGCTGTGTCTGACTCTGCACTTTGCCTGGGCATCACTCTGGCTGTGCAGGGAGCCATGGGGAGGGCAGGGAGTGGGGCTGGTGCAGTTCTGCCTTGGGCTTTACCCTGTGGGGAGGGGGCTCTTCCTGCCCCCTCACCCCTGTGCTCCTGCATGAAGTGCTGGGGTGGCACAGGATCCCAGGGGTGGCACAGGCTGTTGTGCAGTGGGGTGATGGCTGAAGGGTGCCCACAGCTCCCTACAGCAGACTCTGGGATGGAGGTGGGTGTCAGCTCCCTGGCATTATTGGTGATATGTGCATGTAAATCACACAGTGCCAGAGCAGCGTGATGGTGGGGACCAGGCAGTGTCCCCATAACCCAGTGCTATTGCAAGTGGAGAAAGGTGGTGGCTTGGGGTGTAAAGCATGAAAAGAGCTGCACAAGGCCCTGTGCCACAGCTCTGGCTTAAAGAGTGACAAGAGGGGACACATCCCAGTCCATCCCAGACCACCACTGGGATTGTGTTGCTCCAGTATCAGGCTCAGAGTCTCACCTAAGGAGTGTTTGCAGTGGGAGAGGGTCTCAGCTGGGAATGACCATGAGTGCCTGCTGGCTCCGTGGGCACAGGCAGCGCTCTGGATCTGTCCAGGCTCCTGCACTGGCTCACAGAGCAGCACAAACCCAAATGCTCCATGGCACAAGACCACAGCAGGGCTGGGTTAGGGACTGCTGCCACGGGGTGGCAAAGGAGAATGGGTGGGTAGGAAGAGAATCAGATATTCTCTCCTCCTGCTGGAGGGTCCCGTGTGCCCTTTGGGCTCCGCCACCTTTCCCAAGAGCTCCAAGCACTTCCCTGCTGTTCTTCTGCTGGACAACAGGCTCCAGGTGTTTCTAGTTTTAAGACCTGATATTCCTGTGGGCAGCTGTTCCTGTTGTGACAGCACCTTAAGTACTTTTTACTAGTGTTCTTAAATTATGCAAATAAGTAGAATAATCCCAGGTAGCCGTGGTGTAATTAGGAACACAGCTGTGGTTTTTACACCTGGTGCAGGCACAGAAGAGAGGGTGGGTGAATGAATGTTTGGGTATAGCCTTGATCCAGCTGTGGGCTTGCTCCTAGGGCTGAAGCAGTGAGCAGTGGAGCAGGATGAGTTTAATTCTCTTGGGACAAGCAGTGAATTTGAGATGCTGAGAGGGCAGAACCCCAAGTGATGTGTGGGAGGAGGTGGGCATGAAGGGTCCCTGCTGTCACACTGCTCCTTGAGCTCGGCAGGGCATGCACACACTGACCCGAACTTAGGTGCTGCCCTGCTCAGCACCAGAGGTGTCCTTGCATAGCCATTGTCACCCTCCATCCCCTACCAGCCCTACCATCCACTTCCCAACCAGTGAATCCATCTCTTTGGATGCCTTTCTCACCAACATACCAAAAATCCAGATTGATTTGGTGCTTTTTCCCCTATTTACCTTGGATATTTTAATGCATTTTGCCTGTTCCTGCCCTTATTTGCTGATTTGTTTTTCCCATCCTCTTTCTCAGCAATACCAAGTTGTTGCTGCTGGAAAATAAAGCTAAGGCAGAAAGTTTTGGCCTTTGATCTGAAGGCCACAAGATTTCTGGGAGGCAATTTGAATTTGCTTTGGGGTGTGTGCACATGAGTGCTCACCTGCTGCTGGTGGGGCTGCAGCGGCTTCAGTAGAATAAACCACACACCCATGCATGCACCCATGCAGATTGTTTTTTCCTTTCAGCAGTATTTTATTTGCTTGTATTAAAAATGGCTAATTTTCTCTTAAGAGTAAATAATGCAAGAAACAGTGTTGTCAGTTTGGGATGCAAAAGGATATCGGCTTCCTCTGAATCCCAAATTCCTCCTCTGCACCCCAGTGCGGTCTTTATGCAGAGGGACAAAGATATGAAGTCAAATTCCTATTTATTTCAGATGCTGTAAATTCAACATATTTTCAGTGTTGAGGTGATTGAACTTAGCATCCGTGTTTCATGTGGATGATGTTCTACTTGGATCTAACATGCTCAGTGTACAGAAAGCCATCCTCCAAAACGCAGGACATTCCTATTTCTAAATTAGGTTCTTAACAGTAGAGACTGCTAGGGAAAATATGTATTTTTTAATGAAGTGATGTTGTTATTAGTGTTGTTTGAACTGGTCTGAGAGGATCCATCTCCCCAGCCAGGGCTGCTGCACGAGGGGAGCCGTGAGCGGCATTTCCCAGCCGCTCACCCTGGCCATGCGGGAACACAGCAGGGACAGGAGGGACAGGAGAATCCCATCACTGCAGGGAAATGGGAGCATGGATGAGGCAAAACCTCTGTCCTGCTCCTGTGGCTGTCCTTGGGCTGTTGCAGGCACGGCAGCTTTGGTGAGGGATATAAGCAGCGCTTCACACCTGAGCCATGGTCTCTGACAGCAGCTCCTCTGCTCTGAGGGCTGATGAGCCCTTTGCTGGTGGATCTGCATTTCCACCTTCTAAAATCAGCCCCAGCAGGGATGGGTGAGTGGGAGGTGCTGCCTGTGCCCTGCAACTGAAGGGTGCTGATGGCTCTGTCCAAAGAGAAAATGCTCTGCTGGAGCCCTGAGGGCTCCATGTCCAATCTCTTTGCTTTAGTCTCTGTCACTTGTGCTGGCTGTGGCTTCACAAATGTTTTTTTTTCTCCCTGTCTCTGTGGTCCACCCTGTCCTGGTCTCCCCAAGCTGCTGGGACCTCTGGGTCCTGCACTCCAGAGATTCCAGATCTGTGCCTGTGCTCTGTAGCTGCATATTTGCCTGTAAATATATTTGTACACGTCTTAGGGGAGAGCCTGGAGTGGGTTTGTGCTGGCGCTGAGCTGTGCCATCACCTCCAGTGCTGCATCCTGGGCTGCTCCGTGCCTGCCTGTGGGTGTTGGGGACTGCTGGCAGGTCCCAGATAGCAACAGGGTCTCACAGAAATGGGGCACAGCCAGGGTAGGTCCCAATGGATCAGAGCAGGGATGGATGTTCATTGCCCCTCCCAACAACCTTTTCTTTATCTCTCTTTCCAGATGATTCCTCCAGACCAAGAGCTGCTGGTCTGGTATGGGAACTCCCACAACACCTTCCTGGGCATCCCAGGTGTGCCTGGGCTGGAAGAGGAGCAGAAGAAGAACAAACATGGTAGGTAACATCAGAAAGAGCCAAGGGTGCAGCATCCCTGCCTGCTCACCCTGTGCCCAGCTCTAAGGCCATTGGGTGGGCACAAGGCAGGGACGTCCCAGGGTATGTCAGATATCCCAGTTCTCTGAGGACAAGCACAGGGACTATGAAATGATCTGTAGCACTTGAGCAGATCCTCAGTAACTCGGGGCAATGCCTCTAGGCCAGTCTGCCCATGGCTGTTGCTGGTGGGGTGTTGGCAGTCGCTGCCTGACCCAGCCAGGCAGGGAGGAGCAGTGCAGGGTGTGAGAGCAAGGCAGCCCCAACACCCTGTGAAACACCAAGTAGGTGCAGACTCTGCATCCACACTCTGCATTTAAGGGATCTTAACCACGAACACAGGAGTGCTTTCTCTCCTTGGGCTTTTGCTCTCTGCTCATCTCAGTGGCTCCCTGAGGTGCTTCTCCGTGGCACAGAAGAGCTCAGGCTGTGTTTGGAGCCACTTCTGTGCTCCCTGACTCTGCTCCCCACTCTCAGAGAGCCACGTCTGAGCCCAGCAGAGTGAGGGGAGAAGCTGGGACTGGGGCAGGAGATCGACAGTGTGGTTGGGGGTTCCTGAGAGTTCCTGCACCCACCTCCTCCAGCTCTGCTGCAGCCCAGGGAGGGGAAAATTGGTTTTGTGCCCATTTATAAGGGATTTGTTCAGCTCAGCTTGAATGATCCCCTTACCTAAACCTGGCAGAGTGCAATCCCAGCACTGGCTGCATCCCAAAATCCTAAGAGCCAGCCAGGATAGGTGACCTCAGCAGCAGGGAGCTAGCAAGAGGGCAGTGGGGATTTTCCAGAGCACCCAGCACCTCAGGCACTTGTGGTGGGGTGAGCTGCCATGCTGGAGGGCAGCGCCTGACTATGTCCTGTCGTCCCCAGAGGATTTCCATGCGGTGGAGACGGGGGCCAGCACGACGGGGCGCATGCGCTGCGTCATCTGCCACCGCGGCTTCAACTCCCGCAGCAACCTGCGCTCCCACATGCGCATCCACACCCTGGACAAGCCCTTCGTGTGCCGCTTCTGCAACCGCCGCTTCAGCCAGTCCTCCACGCTCCGCAACCACGTCCGCTTGCACACGGGCGAGCGGCCCTACAAGTGCCAGGTTTGCCAAAGTGCCTACTCCCAGCTGGCGGGGCTGCGGGCGCACCAGAAAAGCGCCCGCCACCGGCCCCCCAACGCCTCCCTGCAGGCCCACTCGCCCGCCCTGCCCGTGCCCCACCCTGCCTCCCTGGCCCATCACATCCCCACCATGGTGCTGTGAAGCCCCGGCGTGGCAGCAGGATTTGGGACAGCAGAGACTGATGCCGAGACATGCGATGAACTGGGGGAATGGCCCTTGGCTGAGCTGCTTTGTGTCTCGGAGAGTGTTGGGTTGTTTTTTGGGCATTGCTCACTGCAGGGGGTCGGCAGAAAAGGAGCCCCCAGCTGTGCAGCTGAGTTGTGGGAGTTCATCCCCAGGGAGATGTGGCACAGGGTGGGCTGTGGGTTTGTGTGGGTTTAACAGTGCACTGGGGGAGGACTGGGAGAGCCGAAAAGCCAGGCTTGGAGGAGTTGTGCCTGGGTTTTACAGATAATTTGGTAGAAAGAAAGAAAAATTCCTCTTATGTGTCCTCCTCTGTTCTAGCAGACACGTGTCCCAGTGAAAGGTTGGCACAGCCCTGATGTGGCCACCCCAGTCATACCTGTTTGCCCTGAGAGTGGCTTTGGTCCTGGTGGTTCCTTCTAAGGGACACCTTTCCCTGCTTGGGAGCCTGGAGTTAACGAACATTTGCATTTTCCTGCACCCGAGCCCCCTCTCCCTGCCCTGCTCCAGCCGGAGCCCAGTACTGGGGTCTGTCACTGCTCCAAGCCACGCTGTGGGCAGGGGGGACACCGTGCCAGCTGGGAATGCCCATCCACAGGCAGGATTTGTGGGGACCCTGAGCTCTGCCGGGCTGTGCCCGTTCCAGCCCTTGCAGCTTTTCTCCCCATCCCTTTCCCAGCTCTGAAGGAACATTTTGGTTGGAACTGCTACTGCCCTCTGGGGACAGAGAAAACCTGTCCCCGGGCCAGCTCTGTCCCCAAGGACAACTCTAAGCGCCCTCTGGAGTCCCCACACTGCGGAGGAGAGCTGTGTATCATAAATCTTAAAAAAAAAAAAAAAGGTATTCTAATATTAATTATAAGTCTAAGATGTATAAAGTTCTCACAAACCGTGTTTCACTTCCAGAAGAAAATAAACAAAAACAAAAGAAAAAAAAAAAAACCCAAACTGTCACTTTAACTTTGTAAATATTTATGTAAACATTATTTACAAGACTTTGATATTATATATTATTTGATTGTATATGTACACAGTGTAAATACATTTGTACTTTTCTTGTATTCTAAATAAAAATTACTTGGAACATTTATCATTTAGAAGAGGGATTGCATGAAGAGCTTTATTTTATGTGCCAGGGAAGAATGTGTGTAGTGGGATGAGTGAAGGTCTTAACAAACACAACAATCTGTGACTGAGGAGATGTGTAGTCATCTGTTGGACCAAGAAGTGCATCTGGGAGGGGAAAAACCCTCAGTTTTTGGCTAAAGAAGCCATTTTTCAGGTCTGGAAGCTGGGGTAAGGGCTGACTCACTTTGGAGCTGGTGCTATCTAGTGATTCCACCCTGCCAGTCCCTATTTTTGTGAACTTGTACAGTCCCTTATAAAGCCACAGCTACTGCCATCCTTTGATATATTCCATGAATTAGTGCCCATATTTCGGCTGTGATGGGACACAGGTGCAAGCCCTGCTGGAAGGGACATATTTGAGGGTGGTCATCTCATGGTGGGCTGCTTTTGGCATTTCCTCTGCAGCCCTAAATCCAAACCAGTGCTTGAAACTTTTCCACGGACGTATCAGTTCGTGCCGGCACAGCTTGGCCGAGGGGAAGGGCTCAGGGCCGAGCCCCGGGGGATGTTTGAGCCCAGCGTGAGCGCCGGCCAGCTGGGGAGGGCGTCAGAGGACTACCCTCGGGGGGACACCGTGTGTAAGGGGCACCCGAACGGGGCGTGCTGCTCCCCGCCCCGGCCAGGGCTGTGAGGCCCGGGGGAGGGTTCCCGGGCTTCCCCCCTGTTTGCCGGGCAGGTTCTGAAGGAGCGGGTCACGGCCGGGAGCTGCCCGCACTAAAAATGGCCGCGGTCCCCCTTGGGTTTCACCGGAGCGAAGCCAGAGAGGCTCTCCGCTGCCAGGAACAAACATGGCTGCCCAGTCACCGCCCCTGCTGCCCTCACTCAAGATGGCGCCGCCCGCGCCCTCAGGCGCGCCCTCGCCAGCAGCCAACATGGCGGGCGGAAGACGCGTGCGACGGGGCCAAGATGGCGGCGGTCACCATGAGGCTGCCGGCGGCCCGCGCGCCCCTGGATTCCAGCGCGCTCCGGGGCGGCGAGAAGCACCTGGTGGCACCGGGGGACACCATCACCACGGACACGGGATACATGAGGTGCGGGCAGCGCCGGAGGAGCAGGCGGCGGCGGGGTGGCGCGGCTTCGGGCTGTCCTTAGGTAGCTCGCTGTCTCTCCGCAGGGGCCACGGTACTTATGTGGAGGACGACAAGCTGATCGCCTCGGTGGCCGGCGTGGTGGAGAGGGTGAACAAGCTGGTGTGTGTCAGGGCGCTGAAGGCCAGGTGAGCGCGGCCGCGGCGGGGCGGGCGGCAGCGGGGCCTGGCTCGGCCGGGTGAGGGAGGTGAGGTGTGAGGTGTGTGACCGCCGCTCTCTGCCCCAGGTACAACGGCGAGATCGGCGACATCGTGGTCGGCAGGATTACGGAGGTAAAACCCCCTGTTTGCCGCGGTGCCCAGGAGGAGGAGGGTGGTTGTGGCTCAGTCCCACTTCTAAGCGCTTCCCGGCATCCTAAAACACTGACACACATCAGTGTCCTTGCTCAGGGTACTGGGAGCGTGTGGATTTTAACTGGGATGAGGCTGGAAGAAGCCAGCAGAGCTGTCCCCTCCTGCACTTTGGTAAGCTGCAGGTCCCATTCAGTTTTTGAGTGTGTACCCATAAAGCTTGGGTGATTTTTTCCCCCTTAGGTTCAGCAGAAGCGATGGAAAGTGGAAACAAATTCCAGGCTGGATTCAGTCCTGTTGCTGTCGTCTATAAATTTACCTGGTGGGGAGCTGGTGAGTGAGCTGGTTGTGTTTTGCATGGCATCCTAAGGTCCCCCACCAAGAGCTACTGATGGGTGTTTTCTCATTCTGGGCTACATGTAACTTTCCTTGTGATGTTTCAGAGAAGGAAATCAGCAGAAGATGAGCTTGCAATGAGGGACTACCTGCAGGAAGGGGATCTCATCAGTGTATCCTTCTGCTGCTCCCATTGACAAAAGAGCCAAGGGCGTGGGAAGAACAGGGAGAGCTTGGCTGGCCTGGCTGGGGGTGAGAGCTATGCTGGGGTGGCACTGGGCAGCCTTAGGGACCCTGTTTCCTTAAGTGGCACCAACAGGCAGAGGTCCAGTCTATATTTTCTGATGGAGCTGTGTCACTGCACACCCGGAGCCTGAAGTATGGGAAGGTGAGTTATTCCAAAGCCCTTGATCCTGGGTTCATTCTGCACCAGCTGATTTGTATAAGGCCTTTTGGAGGCTTTGTTAAGAAAACAGCTACAGAGTAGAGCAGGATGTTGTTATAACCCATTCCTGCAGGACAGGAAGACTCTTTGCTCTTCCATGGGACCACCAAGCAGAGTTTCCCCAAAACAAAGAAGGTGTCCTTGAGTTGCTCTTTGATCCACTGCTCATCCACAGTTTCAGCCTGCTAGTTCTGTTTTCCCCACTAGCCACTTGGGAATTAAATCCTGTGGAGAGATCTTCTCACTCCTCTTCTGCTGGCTGTTGCCCCTGTGACTTGTTCTTCTCCCCAGGGCTCTATTTTAGGCTTTACACAGTTGGCATTTATCTCTGGTTTTGTGCATTGAAATAAGCCAAGGGGCCGTTGGAGCGTAGGCTGCAGTTTGGGATTACCAGACCAAGGGTATTAGCACTTAAAAGATGAAAGGGAAGTGTGCTTATTGCACAAAGGGTGAAGGACAGTGATTGGATTATGAGGGAAAATGTTCTGCTAAATTGGGCCTCTGACTCCTCATTTTTCTGCAGGGATGGTTGATGTGTAGTTACGATCAAGATATTATTAACATTTGCGTTAAGCACTTAGAGTATTCTTCATCTTCAAAGGGCTGCACAGGCATTAGCTAATCCTCCCAGCGCTCCCAGAGGCAGGCAGGTTTTACATTCACTGTTTCACAGGAAAAGGTGTTAAAACAGAGTTGTTCCTAGGCTAGGAATGGAGTGAGTGTGTATCAGTGACTTGGTATTATGTGGTGGCTCATGATGTCTCTCATGTTGAGTTTGTGGTCTGCTCTCCAGCTTGCCCAGGGAGTGCTGGTTCAGGTCTCTCCCTCCCTTGTGAAACGGCAGAAGACTCATTTCCATGACCTGCCCTGTGGTGCCTCCGTGATCCTCGGCAACAATGGCTTCATCTGGATCTACCCAACCCCGGAGCAGAAGGATGACGACGCTGGAGGCTACACTGCCAACCTGGAGGTGAGTCCAGGGAGGTGAGCCCTCTTCTGCCAGTGATGGCTTTTTGTCTGACACAGTCAGAGGCACCTGAGTAACCTGAGACTTTCAGGATCCTGGGTTAGGTTCACAGCAACACTTTTCTCCATGCATTATTTCCCTGTGCATTCATCCCTTTTCCTCTGTCCTTCCTCAGCCAGTTCCCTTGTCTGACCGGGAGGTGATCTCACGGCTCCGAAACTGCATCATGGCTCTGGTTACTCACAAGATCATGCTCTTTGACACCAGCATCCTGTATTGCTATGAAGCATCCCTTCCTCATCAGGTACAGGAACCAGTAGTGTTTATTCCACACTGAGGGGAGGGAACAGAAAGGCTGCTGAAATCAGAGTTTCATTTCAGTTTACCAAAGCATCCTGTAGTATGAGCTTTCCTCTTCTGCACAGCATAAGTTGCCTTGCACAATTTCAGGGATAGTTTGAAAGGTTCTGCCTCTGGCAAAGTCTAACTATTCCTAAAGAGGGATCAGTCCCTTTTTGATAGATGTTGTGTATCCCTCACTGGGATTATGGACCCTTTAATTCCTGTGAGAACAGTGTTAAATTTGGCATTGTATGAGGGTACAGTGCATTTTATGAAGCAATGAAAAAGTAAATGTCATGTATTGTACAGAGAGCAGGCTCATGCCTGTACCCACATCCTGCACTGCTGCAGGACTGCCTCCATTTGCCCTCTTGCTGTACAGCTTTTCACTGTGATTCCTGCCAGCACTATCACAAGCAATTCTTTTCCCATAAATAAATGAGATCTGAATTCTGCTTTCATTCCCAATGAGGTGTTAATTATGCCTTGGACCCTCTGCCATAGATCTTTTTTCACCACAACCCTCTAAACTCCCTTGCTGGTTGCTGCCGTGTGCCAGGGACCTTTGTGTCCCCACTGAGTGCAGAAGTGGTTGTTGATTCCTGGTGCTCATATTGCTCTTCTTTCCACTGCAGATCAAGGACATTCTCAAGCCAGAGGTGACAGAGGAGATCGTTCTGGAAGCTCGACAGAGGTTGCTGGATTCAGAGGGATAGGATAGGGCACGTGGCCAGAAGCAGTCATTTGAAATCCCAGCATGGCAGCTTTGATTCTCAGTATTATATGGTTTTTTTCAGTGTTCTAGTTCTCAACATTCATTCCACACTTCAGAAACCACCAAAATTCCTCACTCCTAGGATATCTCCTGTGTCCTTTTAGTACAAAGTAGTACTTAAGTACAACAGCCTTTTAGTGCAACGGCCTGAAAAATTGATATCTGACCTTTATAAAGATCAGATGCAACTGGGACCTGTCTCCTAGCACCTGTTGCTGTGTCTAGTGCCCCAGAAATTTGTGCAAAATGACAGAGAGGAAGAGATTTGCTTTGTGATGTTTCTCTCTCCCCAGAAGATGATTTGGCTTTTAATTTACTTGTGATACAGATCTGCCAGTCTGTCCCCTGATTGAAAGCCCTCATTTTTAAGAATGTGTTTGGAGAACAGGAGTATCCACAGCCTTGCTAACCACAGTTTGGGTCTGGCTGTTCATGGCTTGAATGTCTCAGGGGTATGAGATGGAATGTGGCTGTGTCTGTCCATATGAGCCAGGAGCTCTGGACAAGCAGAATCCTGGTTTGTGTATATCCTGCTGGTCATGTTTTATGTCTGAGAGGTGAGTTCCTCTTCTGAGGAGTCACCAGTATGGTTTTGTATTAAGTATTTTACATTTCAATAAATTTTTTGAAACAAATCAGTCCTTCAGCAGTGTGTGCATTGGCTTGTTTTTAGCCTAGCTTGAAAGCTGTGGCTGGCTCAAGTTTCCTTGTGCTAGGACACTTGGAAT